CCCCAAAACCCCAAAACCCCAAAACCCCAAAACCCCGAAGGTCGATGTCATGGTTGAAATCTATTATGAGCAGAATTTGTTAACTATATCTGAATACTCTGAGAATAATGAAAAAATGTCTTCCTTCGAGTAACTGTAGTTCGTCACTGCCTTCATTCTGTTCAGGAGAAGGGACATCAAATCGAAGGCTCTGGCTGCCTCTTCTTGAGTTGAGTAGGTATGAATGTATGTCTTCTTGTTTCCAACATTGATGAGGGCTTGCCATCTCGAACCATTCTTGAACACTCCAGTGTAGCGAGACCTCCTTGTACTGATTTTTGAAGTTCTACGGTTTGATTTGGGTCTTCCAAACACAAGAGTCTTGAAAGGATCTTCAATTCTCACCAAGTACTGATACAGCCTGATTAATCTTGACTGAAGATGATTTGTCCTATCTCCTTCAGATGGAGCCCTACCAGTGTCGTCAACTTCAGTCTCATTTTGGAATTTTGGATACTCTTGAAGATTAATGTCGAGCCAAGTCTTAATCTCATCACTTCAAGGTGACAATGGACTTGGTGTTTCTCAATGACAAAAACACTTCAAATCAAAATTTCACAAGCAATAGGATCTGGCAAGCTCAGTTATCAATGTATCTCCTAATGGAGGAAGTTCAATCGGCTTTACAAAAGCCAGTTCACCTCTCTGAATGCTCAAGTCGCTTCCTTGGCTAAATAGCATGGGATTAGTATCCATGTTTTTATTTTAATTATATTAACTTTCTAGATAAACTTCTCTTTAAATAGTAGCTGCAGGGTCTCTTACCTTACATCTCTTGTATGGTCATAGGTTAAGAGAGCACCACAAAATGCTAAGTTTGGAAAGAAATTTAATTCTAAAAGACCTTTTTTTGATAATTTACAGGAGCAATTGATCTCTATTCTTGTAGACGAGGCAGGTAAGAGCTATATGTGCCTAATTATATAGTGAAATTTACTTAATAATATCTTATGAATCAATAGAACTCGATGGTTGAGCTTCGGAATAATTCACTAGGTCTATGAAAGCCATAAATTTTAGGTCATTGAGGTTTATCATTTAATCACCAAAATATGAAATTCCACCTATAACTTAAGTCTTATTGATTAAGGATATATCGAACAGCTAAATTGAAGATGACAAATTGGGTCGAAATAAAGTAATTTAAGGCGGCTCATTGCAGGATAATTTCTTGAAATAAGTGACTTGCATATATAGCCATATGCGATACAATAGGTACACTTGTTTAGACTAGAGTTCAATCTTGGTGCCAATAAGAGGTTATAAATATCTTATTAATAAGTAGGGCATTCTCAGACCTTCAATTAACATATTTGTAAGCAAAGACTGCTAATTTCTTCATCTTTTAAGGATTCTAGCAAAAAAAGATGATTTCTTCGAGTAAACATTCCATGCAAAGTTTGACAAATCTTGGCCCACAGTTAAGCGAGACTCCCATTTCTGAGAATTGTTCAGCAGGTCTTCCAAAAATGTTGAAAATATTGCAACTTTAGTTTGATAGATAAATGGAGTTATAGCTAGACTCTAGTAGTGAATTCTCAAAATATGATAGAAATAATAGTCTTCAACTAGGCTATGCTGCTAGTCTGGCTGGGAACCATGTTTGGACAACTCTATGAGGCATTACGAAAAGAGGATTCTGAGACTACTGAGTACATACATTTTTATGGAACTTATAATATTCCAATATGTCACAACGATTTAGAGTGGTCACACTTTATAAAGAATACTTAATGAATATTTGTCCTCTCTCTTAGATTATATCCCCGTCCAAGTACCCAAGGAGGAGTTAGTTTAGTGTGATGATATAGGTAAATATCGTATTACTGTACTAAAAATTATACAAAGAGGTTAAAACAAGTTTTAGAACATCAGTGATTGAGATAAATCGACATTTCTAGACCCTTTATCATCTTGGAAATCTTATAGCCTTTCATAATGGAAATAACTATAGTTGCATTTTTTGTTATTAAAGAACACCTGCATAGTACGACCGACGAGAAATTTGATCGAAAAGAGCTGCTCCTAATTAGGGATAGTGAAGAACTCATGGCATCTAAAGTTTAATGAAAATTTCCCATGAAGCAGATGATAGACATTAATGTTTTTATGCACTAATTTTTCAGCTCACCAAGGAACTCTCTTTTAATTGGAGAACAATGGTGAAGACAAATTTAGATATTTCATTCTATTTTCACACTAAATTGCCCTCTGCTTTAAGTTATTTTATGTAATAAATTCATGGATTTAAAGAAATAAACTCTGATTTCTCCATTAAGACATTAAGGGTTTGAAAATTATAAGGACTTCTATTGTCATTAATCAAGAGTTCTTTTAATTTAAATAAAGAATTAGGTCCTCACTAGAAGCCATAGGGAATATCTTTATTGTATCGTAAAAAATTGGCTAATTAATTCCTGTTAAAATAAGTCACCATGAATTGATAAGTCAGTTAGAAATATTCTTAAAGTTGTTAGAAAAGATGAGAGCGAGATGCTTGATACCTCGAGTCTCTCAAGAGCTTTACTTCTCCAAGAGATTTAGATGCAAATTATATGCTCTAGTTAAGAGTTGCTGTACTACACAAAGCTGGGACTCTGAGCACCTGTTCACAAGTGTTCCAGCACAAGCTATTAACACAGCAAAATTCAAAAGAATCAAAAGTAGGATCGTATAGCCTAAAAGTATATATTAATTCAGGACTAAAGCCATCGAAAACAAGGCTCATCTTAATTAGTAAGAGACTTAAGGCTAGCTAAAAGCCAAAGAAATAAAGGTAAGCATGATTTCGTAATGTTCTCTACATTATTAAGATATCTAAAATGAAAGACATCCATTGTAATTACCAGTCTGAATTGCTGGCTTATACCTGAATGTACTCAAAAGGAGGAAAAGAATTATGAAAGCATCATTAATAACATCTATATCCCTTTAAAGACCTTGGTCAGCACCTCAGGTGCCTTTGTAATGAATTCATCAATAATAAGACGAGTTTTCCTTTAATAATCCCAAAAACAGTTACAGATGAATTAATAAAATCCTGGAAATACTGTTTTACAACACCTCTTTATCTAGGCCTCTGAAGAAGAAGTCTTAAAATAATAAAAATGCTAATTGTAGAGGCGTAATGAGAAGATTCATAACTGTGAACTTGCTCTCTGAGATTTAGTATTCGCCAAGAAAATAATGGAAATGCATGAAAAGTTATTTCGCATGAAAATTTTCACGAGGATTTTTATGAAGAATTTTAGTGCATTATTGAATCAGAGCTGGTGATATCATCACCATGAACTCAAACAGTGTAAGGCTCCATCTACATTCTCAAGGTATCTCTGTACCCAGTGGTTTCCATCTTAGAGGGCTCTATAGCCTCATAATAATAGACAGTAGCTCTTGTAAAATTTTGCAACTGACATTTCTCAATTTTCGATTCCTTCTTACACAAGTTAATTGCTCCAGATTTTCTTTGAGAAGCCTTTAGAAAGTGCTTCTGAAATTATATGGTACATCTTTTTAAGCAAAAAATCATTCTGCTTAAATATTATAATTTGTTATTAAAATTCACAATCTGTAAGAGCTGAAACTCTTTCTTCAAATTTTGAAGTAGACCAAATCTAATGAAATTTATCAAGCTTAGCTATTATTTTCACTCAATTTGTTCATTTTTATCGTCAAAAACTTGGATGCTCTGTGAGACTCTCCATTAGCTTATATATTTGGCTGCAACTTAAACTTTATCGTGATTTTGCAATAATCTAATGAGCCACAAAAGCCCAAAATACATCTTTCATTGGTTTAAAACTTTTCCTGACTTGTCTCCTGATTCTTAGGTACGTGCCAAGTATAGGATTTGTGACAAAGCTGATCAAGGCTAAAATTACAACTTCAGAATAAAGATCAGGAAGAACAATATTCATTTTGAATCTTCGAAATCTTATAATATAAAAGGGGTTTTGGGGTTTTGGGGTTTTGGGG